CTTGCGGGTCACATATGGCTCGCGGGCCGCGAGTTTGAGACCCCTATATTAGATGTTTATTTATTAATATTTACGATTATCTAATTTTTGTTATAAAAGAATGTAAATATTTATACTTTCCCACATCATTTTCGATGTATGCAGAATGTATGCGGGAACGAATTTCAAAATATCTTAATATTTCATTTTCGGTTTCGGCTTCGGTTTCGGCCGAAATTCATTTTTAATCTTCGGCCTTTTTTCGGTTTCGGCCGAAAGTCATTTTTAAAATTTCGGCCTTTTTTCGGTTTCGGCCGTAAGTCATTTTAAACTTTCGGCCTATTTTCGGCTTCGGCCGAAATCAGAAAATCACTTTCGGTCGGTCTCTACCCCAGACATCCACACAGGAAGTCTGACTAATGTCGGCGACGCCCAGCAGATGCTGCATGCCTGTATAGTGCTGCCCTGGGCCATAGAAGAGCAACAGCTCGTCTCCTAAGCAGAATGTAATATTTTCAGTCATATTGAGATATTGAGTTACTCCTACACTAATTTTGAGTTGTTCTAACACTCTTGTTTTCTTTCTATTTTTTAACAGGATGATGACGTATTTCTGTTTTTCTGTTTGTAATGTAATAAAAAAAAATATGTGCACACAAAATAAAACATGCACACACAAAATACACAATGTGCACACAAAATACAACACGTATGAACTATTATTTAATACATGGAAGTAAAGCATGCACCAATCTTAAGGTAAGTACAATACTCAAACAAGTTACATTCTCGTACATTCGATAATGATTTATTCATCGTCTCCACTTGAATGACGCTCATGCGGCAGCGACTTTGCTTTGTCCTTTACACATCATGCACGATCGTCCAGTACTGGCTGTCGTTGGGGTCGAGATTAACATTACCAAGCCTTGCTGCACGCTTGACATTCTTGCGTGCGCTGTCCGTGTAGAAGCCAGACAAAATTTCCAAATCCTGATAATCTTTTGTGCCGTCATAAATATCAATGTCAAGGTCGTGACTGGTTCCATCCGGTCTCGGGAATCCATCTGGGCCCGTCTTCCCGACGGGTGCAAGTGTGCTTGACAGCGGTTCCGTCGCAGTGTCAACGGCTGTTTTGGGACCATCCTCTTTGCCTCCGATGGGAAGTAGATGTCGCTGATAGTCGATGCTGCTCACCCTGCACTCGGCAACATGGGCAGGTATGGGCAAAGGCCGGTTGCTGTAGCTGTCTTTGACGGCTGCCGGCTCGAGGTATTTGTCTGCGTCATCGCCTCGGCAAGCGTCCCAGGCTTGGCTGCGAGGTGGCGAAGATTGACGCGGCGGGCCTTTGAAAGCAATGCCCAAGGGAGAGGCGTACTCATCGGTGACTGGCACCGGTGGTCCCGGTCTTGCTGCTGAGTTTCCGTTCGTTGTGCTGGGTTGATTCATGTAACGAGAGTGGCCGTACGTACCGTCACTTGCGATTGAGACCGATGTTTTGTTATCTGTGGAATATATGGGTTTGTTGGTAATCGTAGGAGAGATTTGTCCTGAAATAACTAATACCTGATAACTAATAACTAATAAAACTAAGAGGTAAAGGGGGCCTTATGTTTTGAAACGTTAGTTGCTGGATATGATGGTAGAGCATTAGGATAAAGGGAAAACAGAGGCTAATAAAAATTAGTCGCCTGAGGGACTTACATCCTATCGTTTTTTGTTTCCGAAAACGGAATGAAGATATCATTTGGATATGTCTATACATTTTTAAGAAAGATTACCACAACATTGGCAGGAAAGTTGGTGTTTTTTTGTTTTTTTTTTTTTAAGTATTAATTCAATGTTATTAATTGGGTTTGAGGCTTCATGGGTGGGCCGAAATTTTTTAGCCACACCCACTCTGAATTTGGACGAAAATGTCACCCTTCAATGTAATGAAATCACCCATCCCAACCCTTCCCCCAATCCTTCCTACACAGGGGATTTAGTTTATTTATATTGTTTAAAAACTATGTTATGTAAGCTTATTCTTTAAAAGAACATTTTAAAAAACAACAGAAAACGATATGTAGAATGATACGTAAAGTGTACCAACCTCCGCGATGGTATGATGAGGCTGGCGAGGAGGGTAAAGACTCAACTTCTGCGTACTCTGTCGTCTCGAATATCTCTGACGGTCTCGGAGAACTTTCATAATGGTTGGCGTCACTCCAGTTGTTCTGGGTCGCGTTGTCGGGCTGGTAATGATGATTGTCGAACCCAGATATGTGAGCAATCTGTGTTATTGGTAAATGTGCATAAGTCTAGGATTGCTTGAATTGTATTCTTTTTTAAAAATAATTTATCATCAATATGGATTTCTTTAATATACATTATTATACAACTAAATAGATACGTTAATATTCGTATTTCTATTGGACTAAGCACACACGTAGAAATTCATATGCATTTTTATAACTAAGTTAATTCAATGTTTACTGTCAGAAAATTTTAGCTAAATTGAAAATCTTTTTTTTTTTCTT